AAGTGAGTAGGTGATCGACTTTCCTCTTGCGAAATGGCACTATTGGGAACGAACCCTTTTCTTTAAACAACGGTAATTTTGTTTCCCGAAGTGACTAAAGGTTTTTCTAAGACTGCTCCAATTGCCAACGCTAAAGACTTGGTAACTGTAGATTCCTCTGTGAACATCGCGGTACCTGTATAAACATTAGGAATTCTCTAAACAGTACACAGAAAGAGGAATCACTATGCGAGTTGGTTACCGAGCTCCAAGCTCCACCTCCCAAGTCTAGCTTCATGTCATACAATTATGTGTTTGTGGAAACTTGCAGAGCATCTACGACATACCCAACCGAATAAGGTACCAGGATAACCTTTCAATATGGCTTACAAACTTGCTCCCACCCCGTCATACCTTACACCTTCATTGAGAGCTATTCTGCGCGTACGACCGTCAGCTACATACTCGTGTAGAATCGCGTCACCCGAAATTCGAAAACGTAACCATTTACGATATCTTTCCTGTTAAAAACCACTGATTTCAAAGTAGACATTCAAATGGAGTGATTGAGTAATCATCAACATCACCGTTGAAGCTATTTCGATCTAAGCAATAATTGCCCTATTTCCGTGTCACTCTTTGCTTGATTCTAAACCCTTCTGTTCCGGGAGCTCAGCTCCAGTCTTCCAGATTCTCACCCGGTAATCAGCATTCTGTCGTTTCACACAAATTAGTGAAGCAGTGTTCTTCCACTCCCACATCCAAATGTCTGAAGAAACAGCTATCGTTACAAGGGTCTCGTTGAGCGACCTTGCTGTAAGAACTTGGTTTGAGTTCTTCCTGACTGACACTTACACAGGTCTGTTTGATAAAAAACCAATCCAATGGGTGGAAGTAGCGTCTGTCATACCCTGGCTCGCTTGGCACCTAAACCACGACCGATGACCAATAAGGCCTTGTGTCTCCCACGTAGCCCCAGATTATCTTGCTGGTCTTGTGTCATTTTGAGCCCATCGGCTAGTCTGGCGTTTTCACGTCCGTCAGACGGTACAGGTGGCGGACACGAGTGTAATGGTGAAGCACAATTTATGCGCCCGTCAACCTCCAGTACCGCACCGACGATAAAGCAGCGCCCACGCCCAAGTCACATGGGCCGCTGATACGATCTCACGTCCAGAAGCCCGGACCATGGCAACCAGTCCACGTCTGGATTCTGGGTCATGTTGACGCACCGACCAGCCGATATTTTGCAGAAGCGTAATGTTTACTGGTTGAGCCCCAGTTGTCAAGGCAGGAAGCATGCTGTGAAACAGGATAGACGTATGTGACACCCTCACTTCGATTTTGGTCGATGAAACAGCCAGTTTTGTTCACTTACGTCTGTCCAACGGGCCAGAAACTCAAAGACACGACTGGTGTCAGTGCGGTTGGACCAAATGAGCTAATAGAATTAGCCATTCTTTGATTGAGTTTCAGCTAGCAAGACAATTTGAGCTTGTTTCCGTTGTCCCATCCTTTTTGTGCACGCATGGGAATGTGCACGCAGTCACGCTTCAGTGTACGACCCGGACTAACGAGCCGCCCTGGCTTTCAATAGTATGAAAACTGAGTTCCGTGAGGTGTACGGTTGGGCGAGCTGTGGGTTGGAGCATCTGAATGACGTGGCGTGCTGTGCGAGATCTCGAGCTCACCATGCAGTGGTTCATTGAAAGACAACTGGTTGATCAATAACGTGAGCCAGTTTGTTAACCAATTGCGGGGTACATTGTTTGGAGGAGAGCCATCGGCAGCTTACACAGTTCACTTGATCTGTAGATTTTGGAAGTCTAATCAAAGTTCATATTTGGTTTGAAAGGAAATTTACCATTGGAAGTAAAGCTGCGTATATTGAAGAAACCCGTGCAGCCGAAAATGACACAATGAACCGTAGAGAAAGAAATGGGTGTTGTAAGAAGCACCGTGAAAAATAGCATAATGAATTACTTATCAACCAGCGCAATTACGTTCGCAGATCCTCAAAGCGATATCCGTTAAATCAGACGCTGATAAATGACGATGACAGAATGTCTCATGAGTGACTCGAGCATCAGAGAAATACGTGGAACCTTCTCAACAAACTAGCGTTTGTGAGAGGATTCTGGACAGAAAAAAATCGTATCAAAATCAGCAGATATCTGATGCTTCATAAAGATAGTTTTCTTATGAAAGATGGTTGGTGCTATCTATTTTCAGTTGACCTGTAGAGTGAAGAAATATCAAAAACGACTGTAGCAACCAGTGCATGAGAATATAGTAGGTTTCATCCTCGTTCACGCAGTAAAAAGCTTAATGGTCCTTCTTAAAACTTATTCAACTTTTTTCCAATTGATCATGAAGCTGTTCGTAACTGAAAGAATCTCGTTGGTTTTCCTACTAGAAACATCGTGGTCTATAAGAATAGGTTCGGATCCCTTATCAGATCACGGAAAAAAAGTTGGTTGTTTATCCGCAGTAACTAAAGCTGGGCACGATTGGTTTATGAATGTCCACTAGTTCTGATACGCAAGTCCACATATCCCGGGATGAGCTTTGGTAGGAGGATTTCACCATCATCCTCATCATTATCCCAATCATCATCATCACCACCATCATCATCCCAATCATCATCATCCCAATCATCATCATCATCATCATCGTCATCATCATCAACAGCATGTTTCAGGTATACTCCTTCTGTCCTGTTGGAATGATCATGAAATACAGCTGGCTATTTATTTCTCATTCCCTCTCCTGTCCTAACAGAAGTCCGCACTGAAGGAAAAGAGGCACTGGATTGTATTTCTCGGCTTTTATTGGAACTCGTGAGAACAGCACATTCTGTAGAGGTTTGATTACTGAATATCCGGAAAGCCAGAGAGCCGACACACACCTGAAACAGCTGAACGGTCACACGTGGACAGGAAAACCTGTTCACGGTCGTGAGTTGGTAGGCCTCAGTCCTCAACTTGCATGTGCGCTAGCTTGCGAAACTCAAGCGTTTCCTTCGATGTGTGGCATCTGCTAGCAAGACGACATAAATCACCGGAATCAGGCTGGAATTCGAAAATCAATGAACTTTTACGCTGCAGCTGAAACAATAGCAGCAGCAGTAAGGAAATGACGAGAGTAGCCACACATGATGGCATAGAACAACTTGTGCATACGTCAGTTGAACTCCAAAATAAGATCTCATCCCCGAATGACTATTTTAACGTTTATCCTTGCGAGTAACACCATTCAATGAGCCGTAGCATTTCGGAATCCCTACAGAAAATTATCTTTCCCAATTAATCAACTCAGAAACAAGGTAAGGAGGCTCCAGCACACAGGGTGTATATCGCATACAAAGGGACCTCAACTCAGACAAATCTATATTTGTTACGTTGGCATGTCACTAAAAAACAAAAGAATTTACAAGTGAAGAAAATATTGGTAGCTCAGGTCGTCATGATGCACTCCCAACCCTAACGCACCTTCACAGACAACGCACCAATGAAGTCATCTGGAGTGGTGATGAAACGCTTTTAACCGAATCGCCCAACTCAACAAACAAACAAACGCTGAGACAACAGAATATTTTAGACAGATTTGCCATGACCTGAATTGATACGACTTCTCCTACGAACCTATTTGGTGAGATATTTCCCTACCTATAAAAATGCTGAATCGATTTTGACTCTGTGAAGCAAGCTTTAAAAACACCTGAGAAAAAGCGCCAACCCCCATGACTATAATTGCAGTGGAAGTTCTCGCATGTCGGTTAATAAGACTGTCTGGTATCAGATGGTGAGTTGCACGTAAAATGAATGAACGCGTCCGAATGTCCACATGACATTCATGATTATGGCTTGCTTAGAGTCACAAATTCTGTCGTCTAATTTCTTTCCAAAAAGCAACACATTCATATGCTTGATACCGGTCTAAAGTTACTCCGTCAGCTAAACACTCGGAGTTTATTTATGTGAAAAGTAAATGGCGCAGTTTGTGGTGCGTTAAAGTTGAGCATTCTACCTAAGATTATAACCCGCAGACTAGTCGAAAAAGTTTAGTCGTGTAATGTCGAAGTTTGTTGAACCTATAGCCTTTCTTCATGCTCGCACCCTTCTGAAATTTAGTCGTCTGCCACCAGACCTACCTGTCTAGGTTGACCACATCCGGTAGTTCCCACTTTTATATGGAGTTGCGCTCCTGTATGTATCGCTTCCTTATTCACAAAGATGTTGAGTACGTTTCAAGTGTTTAACAGCATCCCAGTGGCTGATTTCACCACAACATATGGGATCGATGGGAGTGAACAAATAATCCTAGCCACTGCCTCTGCGACCATGCCTCGTCTCACGCCAAACTCTGATCGGTCCATCAAATGCTTCTGTCAGCCTGTCCCTTGGATTTACTACGAATAGCTGACTATCACGCACGCTACATACACGATCACATATCCCGATCCCCTCAGTTTTTTACCTTGACCTTTTGATGGGTCAGGCGATATCCTGACCGATTGTTTACCAGGCTCTTCTGAAATAATGACTTCCCAATCGGTTCCATACTTTTTCTAATTGGCTGGAAGCTGAAGTGTTTAGTTTGGCGGGTGAAGATTATTTGGCCTGCTCACACACTACTCAAGAAGCCAACATTTTATCGTTGTGAATTTTGGTCCATTTGATGAGTGTAGCACTTTGGTTGCCAATGTATCATCACCATCCGAAGCAACATCATCCACGCAACCAGCTAATATTCATCTTCTTCATTGAGCGCGAACCCGATGACGGCGTTTGGATTTCTGAGCTCCCAAATGTTTCTCAAGTTTGGTCACTAAACACAGTCGTGAAGTTGTTATGGTCATTTTAAAAACGATGTACTGAGTTCGAAGAGCCACAATGGTTCAAACAAGTCAGCATTCCATGTGATCCATTCCACGTGGCACCCCTATGGATCAGTAATCATGAAGTAATACGAATGAGAGATTGAATATTAAAAGTCTGTGTCAATGCTATAAACTGCGCAGCTATATGAAATTAGTGCTCCCTAACGTGCACTTACATGCGCACACAGTTACGTTTAGGAAGCATTAGTTGGAATTGTCTATGGAGCATATTCTTGTGTCTTTATGTGGAGAGCCATTACCTACAAAAAGCACAAGGTCTCTCTCTCTCTCGGACCTTCATGGGTTCATCGAATGGTGCGAATCACATGTGAAAGATGTCGTGTCATTCGTCCATTTTTCGAGTGGTTGTGTGACAAGAGCATGTTATCCTGACTTCTAAGATACCTTGGATTCCGGTATTCACTGACTAAAAGTGAAACCTCACCCGATACGCTGACTCACATAAACCAGGTGACTCGCACTTTCAATAGCCAGAATCCCGAAACCGCAACACCTGTAATTTCTGTTTTAGTAGCACCTTGGAGTCTGCAGGGTAAAATACAATCCTGTTGTTTATGTAGCCCGACCAGCTGCTCGGGTTGAACATATGAAGCGATATACATCTGATCGAACTGTGTGAGATGACCTTGAAACAGGATGCTAATACAGAGCTTAGATTGACAAGAGCCGACCTGATCTGCATTTTTGGCTCCCAGGGTGATGATAAAAAGAAACTCTTACTATAACTATGATCATCTGGGATGTGGATGAACATGGCATGGTGACATTTATGTGGAATAACAAATTCAAGCCAACAGTTTGAATTTTTTCTTAACAAATGTGATTCACCAAAAGACGTTCCATTTGTTACTGCGTGAACGAGGATTAAATCTAGTGTATTCCAATAGCATCGGTTGCTGTAGTCGCACTGAATGTTCAGGATACCATCAGCCTTTATATTTCTTCACACTACAGCACAACTCAAAGTAGATAGCACCCACCGTCTTTCATCACGCAATTATAGTTATGAAAAATCAGGTGACTTATGCTCACTTTGAAACAATTTACGTGGCGTCTTTATTTTCAAATCCAAGCCGTCCAGTAGATGAATTATAAGTCTATTTTCAAGGATTAAGCCGGATTGAGAGCACTATCAGGAATGCTTTTTTGCATAGACTTTCCCGTATTTTCCTCTCTAACACTTGGGCCACTTCAGTTTTACCTGCAGGGAAATTCGCTTCATCAGTCATTGAGGTAAAACACCAACTTCATTTCCAGTCAGCGTTCGAGATCATTATGATGTCCAAATGAACGAAAGGATTAATGATTCATATTTGACATATCGTACTGGAAGTTCTACTCGTGGTCATGCAACTGCCGTGGCGTTGGTGAACGGGTCACGCAGTACGCTATTTAGTTAGAACATTTCGCACTATAATGCGTTTTGTGGCTAAAAACTCCACCCTTATTTTTATTCTTTCGTTGCAATATTCTCACGGTAGGGTGTGGTGAATACAGCATTAGGAGAAACCGCATGGTTCGTATTGGTGGACCAGGTCGAAGCAGTACACAATCGTGAAGTTTTTTGTTACTGTACGTTCTCTTAATAAGCTACAGGCACCTGGATATTCGTGCTACTTTTAGAAATCTGAAAGTATGGCAGGTATCTTCCTATATTTATTTTGAGCGGCTGACGTAGGATCCATTTGAGGGTACGGAGATGCTCATGGACCGTGATGTGACGAAAGATAATAAGACGGTTAGAGATAATATTGTTGTTGAAGAGATTACGGCCTGTAAGTGAAGTAAGTCTATGCTGAAGCACTGCTCATCTCTCCCAACCTCATTGGGGATCAGAGGAAAGATAATTTTATGAGAAAAGTGACATCTTCATCTGACAACTCGTTACGTAAGAAGCCAGTCAGCACTTGTGGTCACGTGCTATGGATTCCGTGTTTGAAGGGTGAGTGGCGCTATATCCTGTCTAAGTGCGAGTTACCCATACTACTGATCAGCCGCTCATGATTAAACGGTTCATTGTTCAAACTACTAGCCCGGAGGTTGCGGGTTCGAAACGTCCTAGACTTTAGTGATATGCGCCCTATTGGTGATTCTCGATAAGGTTGAAACAGCACTGCAGCCTTTCAGCATAAATGATCTTCACCCACAAGCGAAAATGGCAACTTCAGGGTTTATATCCTAATGATTCGAACAACATATTGGGGGTTTATAAATGGAGACGAGGAACCGTAGATTATTCAACCATAACCATGGTCATTTCCATATGTATGTAGAGTTGAGTTACGATTCCACTTCATATGCTTCTTGGCATTCCACAGTAAATCATTTATCCTGTGGTCTTATGAAATTCTCATAACATGAAGAAGTTAGTAAGTATTGCGTTTTCCCCGTTTCTTACTAAAAATCAAGGCTTCTGGGACAAAATATATCTCAAATTTCTATCCATCATTCATCACTTAGCTGGCTCGCACTGGAGTGCGAGCCCCCACAGCTGGAGTGCGCGTGGAACTCCACCTTCGTAGAACAGTGGTTTCGAGCGTGGGCGCTGGTAACTGGGTTTGATAACGGAGACGCACTACCTATTAGTACGCGCACCGCTATGCTTCCTCTCGAGAGGGATGGCAATAACTGAAAGGGCTCCCGAAGGGCTCTTTTCGCACAACCACGTGCAGGTCAAACAATGACTTGACAGTGAAGTATTAAGGCCATTACCAGCAAACTCAGCTTCGCTGGCCATTGCCGTCTTCCTGGATGGGGACCCCGAGACGGGTCATATCAGTGGTTAGAAACATTGTCAGACATGTCCCAATCAATGGTGCTCCTGCATCCAAGCTATTGCCTTCAATGCATAGCTCCCTTCCCAATCCCCCAGCTATAGTGCTGTATTTATTCACTAATTTATCAGCTCCCGCTTCCAATGCGCAGCTACCTATCCATCGCCCCGAATCATCGGTGAACGAAACTGTGGCAGCTACAACCACTGTACGACAAGTACGCGGTTATTACAGCAGACAGTGATGATGATGATGATGATGATGATGATGATGATGATGATGAGGCTGATGTTTCGACGTCTGATTCCGCCTGGTGGATGCGTCAGATGCTCACTTTAGTAATACTACAAGGCCCCAGTTTATTCAAAGTGGATTCTATTGGCTTCAACTGCTAGGCCGTTTCCAAGCTAGTGCTCTGAATATACCGTTTTATAGACAGAGCTGGCTGACCGTTTGAATGAACCTAGAACACGTACCACGTGTGGTGCTGTCCACCACGCGACTTTTTTTGAGCATGTTGTGAGTACCAACTCTTGCGTATTGTTCACTACTCTAACCATTCAGAAAGGCTCTGGTATGGTTAGCCAAGCAGTTGGTTGTCTTTATTGGCACCTCATATTCATTTTGTTTACCTAATTTCTACTAAACTGTGCTGTATAGTATTGTTATATGATGTATACCAGTGTGGTTTGCTATGTGAATTTCGTGTATCTATATGCGGAAGTGCAATATCAGTACTCTGGGTATTCCAGAATGCTAAGCCTTCAAAGATGTTAGATGTTGCCGTCGCTGACCACGGTTGTGCGGTCCTGGCTTAAAGATAGCTAGTACTAACTAGGCGTATGCTTATACCTAGACTACGTCCCCCGAATGGAGTGAATCACCTCTGTGAGACTTAACTGTTCAGTTGTACTTACTTGGACCGACAGTTTTGAGTCACCAGTTTGGCACCTCACCCTCGGGTCGTACTCTCTCGTTTTATACCTCTGGTACAGGACGTCCACGTAGATGCGACTCAGTGCAAACAATACGTGGTGTTACCTACTATGCGTTGGTGTCAATCCGTGTAATACATCCATAATTTCGAACGCAATGTGAGGTGGATAGAATAGATAAATTATATTCAGCTAGTGGCAGTATTATTCTCAAGGGATTCATAGACTTCTTTCGATGTAACACACCAGTCTATTCCAGCTTTGCAGGGTGAACCATCTCGGTGCGTAGGCTACGTTTGGAACCATCTGAAGCTGAAGTTCATTCGGTATGACTCTGGATAAATGCGCTCCCATTGACGCCGGACAAGAATAACGATTACCTGTTGATTTCTGCACGATTGTAGCGTCCATCTTCATGGGAACACGTGATCTGTTCCTGCTGTGACTTTATTTTATCTGCACAGATGACACGTACCATTAGAAGTATGATCCAAAACAACGTTAGGAAAGTGTCCAGCAAATGCCGTGTTGAGAGTCTCTCTCGATCACGATATTTTGCAAGCAAACTGTTTGTGATGAGCTTCGTGTGAGTGCCATTGAACAGGAAATTGCGCAGTGTAAATAGAAGTACTTGTTATTTATTTAAACCCTTCGAATAATGCTGTGGACGTAGTGGGATAAAGAATCACCCGGGCTATGTACATATAGCTACTAGCGGCAGCATTTCTCCTCGAGTGTTAAAACTTCCTTTAAGAACAGTCATAGCCTGAGGATGATAAGTTTATATTCATTGGCACACAAACTCAAAGGAATGTGCCCCACAATGTGTGTTCAATATGTTTCATTCGCTTAAGTTGTTCATTCGCCACGTTCTTAAGGCTATACTTTGTCTGAAATAGGCTGTGGGCAAGCGGTATGTGGGATTAATTTTCTGATTTCTCTAGGAAAACTAGTTACACGTTAACATCTACACAGAAAAATCTGATGGTAGAAACCAATCTACCTAATCTACATCGCGAGATATTCTGCGCAAAGTAGAATTTTGAAAATGTAGCCATCAGCTCTATCTACAAGCCCATCCAATGTTCCATTCAGGTGTGTGCCTTTCCTTCCCATGCGATTTGATCACACCACTTAGTGTACACTATGGTATCAAACCCGGAGACAAGAATAATGGTTGTCTATTCGCCTTGAATGTTCAAGCAATGCACGTCTGCGGGTTAATGGTTTGTCATCCAAATTCAGACAAATGGCAAAGTCGAAGCCAGGTAATGTATGGTCAAGTCACGATAACGTCACGACAGTAGGTATACGACTGCACTGGTAAGTACCTGATTCATAAGTATCAACATTCAGCAGTGACACGAAACACAAATATACTCATCTCCTCTAATTTAATTAATTAATTAATTTAATTTAGCATCGGCAGTATATGTGCTTGCTTTCCCATGTCGTAACCTTGTATGCAAGGTGGGTTCAAACGCACTGACACCAAAGCAACAACCCCAAATTGCTGCTGGAGCAAGGAGCTGAAAGCAGACTTCACATAGATTCATAGTAACGGCACATGTATTCAGGGTCCCCCAATTTGTCGGCCTAGATACTATTTAGACGTTTTATTCGCGGGCTTAAATTCGTTATGGAATCGACTAGGTTTAAGAGTATAAGAACATCCAAATTTTTCATAAAGGAAACTACTCACTTAGTTGCTGAAAACTCTTCGACAGCAACCTTGTGAGTAGTTTCCTTTATGAAAATATACTGCGATATCTCGAATATCGTGCCAACTGAATCATGAGGCGGCCTGTGTGCAGCACATTCAGTTGTAGAATCTCATAAACGAGAGATTCAGTTAGGTCTCTCGTGAAAACCAAATTGATTTGCGAATGAGCGCTTTTCTCGAGACCATCCGAATTTTCTCCACATAGTCGAATTTCTGAGGCTATCCACATTGAATACTGTTTTGTCTTCCGTTAGGTAATACAGGTAGACGTTGGTTTCGATGCACATTGTAGTCAGGAAAACCTCCTGGATTCCCTATTTGTATCCCTGATTCAGCCAAACAATCTGACAGAAAATCTGATAGAACAAAGAAGCTATATCACTCCACCAAAATTTGCAAACCTAAAACCAGAACAAGGCTAGGTTAGTCATCATAATCATTGTTTCATCAGATGCTTGCCATTTAGACCGGGGTAGAAAGATAGGTTGCGTTCAGTCTGATAATGTGACCCATATTCTAGGATTCTATTTATGATTTAATCTCCAACACCCAACCCAAAGTTGTCTTGTTTTTGCTGTAGTTCTGAGCTAAACCGTCAGTGATGAGCCATGCAGAAACTCAGACTGATCCCGTTGTTTAGCAAACCCTTTTTGGTAAGCACCCAAGGCAACGTCGATAAGTTTTGATAACGGAGAACAAAATGGCATCACTTCTTTCCACATCACAAAATCATTTATTCGTTTGCAGACGAACTCAAATGATTTGCAGTAGACATTAACTTTCTCAGCCCTCCGTATGTGATATTCCAGCAAATTAGGTCCTTCATTCCGTACATTATTGCAACAAAGTGAAACTCAAACTGAGTTCCAAATAAGAAGACGAAAAACGTGATTGATGAGGTGGCATTTTCGACTTTTTTTCAAAACCCTAGTCAACGTCTCCGAATTGCACCTAAGCAACTAAACCTGTAAAGTATAACTTTGCTTTTAGCTCCACATTTGGAACTAATCACTGAGCATTCCGCACGCCTGTGCTAAAACACCGTTTGCTCTCGGAAGGCTGCGAGGCTTTGGAGTTACTTGATTGCATGGAACAGATTAATGCAATCCTGGTGAAGCATACGGCAAATCAAAAATGCTGGAATGAAGCCAGATGCTTGAAGGACTGACAAATCTTTTTGACTGACGGGCACTCGCTCAGCTTATCCCTCCCTTTGTGATTTTCCGAAACCGAACAAATTACTACGGCTCACAGACTTATGAGTAAACTCACTAGCATTGAGCTCATGATGTAAAACCTGCTCTTGCGCAGTTTACCATGCCATGCTAGTTCATTGTCTGGTAATCAGTATAACTTTCGTTACTTCATTGGTAAAATCAAAATCATGAGTCAAATGTTTCCAACATCGTTTACCTAATAGATGGCCGGACCCAGTGCGACTTAATTCCTATTTTCTGTCACGGTTATGTACACATTTTCGAAGATATTCCAATAGTGTCGTGTCCATGAAGCCAAACGCAAAAGCATCCTTGGATGTATCTTTAAACCAATTTCACAAATATATGTTCCAGATGATATGAAGCTCGGATTGAGCGTGACCGTGCACTCCAGATAACACAAATCCTGTTCGTTTCTGTTGTCCACTACCAGGGCAACCTTGTTTAATTGTCGAATTTGTCTTAACCACCATCCATGAATCGAGGTCTTAAAAACAAAGGCAGAGCTGTTCGAAACTTTGACAGAATAGACTACTCATGCGACTCCCAGAACCTCAACAGCTCACCAACAGTTTCACTCTGCATGGGACTCAGAAGATAAGCGCTGTTCGGCAGTTTCCGTCAACTCAATTGGAGGAATATCATGAAAGATAGATTCTGTTTAGCCTCCCGTGAAAACCAAAGCAGTACATGACGAGGTGTACCTCGCTAATTGGTACAATCTAATTTTCAGTTGGAATATATGGATAAAGGAAAACTGGGGACCCCACCCATTAGATAATCCCATGAACGTCGAAGCCGGTCGTGGACTCTTGAAGACTTTTCAAAAGCATCCAAGACAATATATTTCTATATCTTGAATATCGCATACCAAGGGAACATGAGGCGTCATTTGTGGAGCATATGTAGTTTAGTAATGCGGTTGTCCACTTGCTGTCGGAACGCCTCTCCAAGTCCCGTATGCAAGCAAACCCCTGTCCTTTTCCTGTCATACATGGCTGTTGTAGTGACACTTCGCCAAGAGCCGTGTACCGACAGATTCATTTGCGTTGTACCAGCACTCGTAACGCAGCATCACTATCTGCACTTGTTGCATGAAGGCAGATCCTTACAGGGATCGAGATGACCAAATTTGGTATTACTGTCAAGTAGTCAGGTTTTCCAGTACATCTCGTTATACACTTCTGCTTCCCTTTTCTGTGAAATGCATGTTTCAACTGGTGATTCCTGCGGTGGACGGTGAAATAGTTGCTTCTGGCTGTCATTGTTACCTACTGCGCGTTCTCGTCGGATGCAACTGTGGCGAGAAATCGGTCAATCTTGGAATCAAACGGTGCCGAACACGTGAGAGTGTCAGCTTGCAACGGACCTGATTACGAACCATGTGAACAAGATGGCTTCACGCAGCTCGTGTCAAGGTCGTTGAATCCAGAATGCTTCCAAGGTCACATCAGGCCGTATTTGCCTCTTCGCCGACAAGTGTTGCCCACCTTCAGGTGTGGTGGTACGCAAGTAATGTTAAGTTTGCCCCAAATTACCATCCCTTTATTAAAATTGGCATAAATCACTTTGATGGAACGAATGTCCGCTTCGGTGGTTGTTCGTTTTTGACCCTTAATGTTGTCCATGAGTACAACTTCTATGTTATTTCTCTGAGTTAACCACAGAGATTTTCCTGAAAGTTATTCCAGTATCATGTTTTTAAACATGGAGTTCTTTTTCGCTCCGAAAAACTCCTGGATTTGTTCTTCTTTAAATATAGTGGTGACTTTGTTAAGCGGATTGGTATTTTGCGCTGGATTATTGGCGCTTACTTTATATTTATTTGGGAACGAGCGTGATCACTGCCCTATTGGATGCATCAATTTATGCATGCGTTCGTGATATCACGCAAATTAGTCAGACTACTTAGGATGTTCGAGTAGTTCCACAGATGAATCAGTTTGAGTTCACTGTGTCGGAATTGACGTCGGTTTTTGGATTTTTTTTTCCATATTTAGGATAGACACTTTTTTTCCAACTAGGTAGGCTATCGCATCGACACTACACGAGGTTATTATCCCGTTGCTGAAAACTAATAAATGGCTTCGTTCAAATAAAGTACCTTCTGTAGGCGTTACTGAATTGCGAAAATCCACTGTTGGAAATCTGCGTTCGATATTCGGTTTGTTCGCAGATTGCAAAAGAAGAAGAAATTGCCCGCGTTCATCGATTTACAGAGAAGAAAGACTTTTCAATGATGGTAACAAAGATCGTAGTGTGGCAACGCTGTGTTTAGAGCGTACGACTACTGTGAAGTCACTATTACAACATTCTGTTAATTCTGTGGCCGTGATACTATTGAGGGCGCAGTAAATATTGAATGCAACGTCGTAACGGTTTAAAAATACAAAGCCGAACTATGCCCACTCTCAATCAACGCAAAATTAAAAGTTTTCAGGGTATTATAGAAACTACAAATTTAGTAACTGTTTTCCTGCTTTATTTTCATGTATGTCCAAGGAAGTCTGTGCTCATATCAACGAAGGACTTTCCGAT